CACTCTTTCTTTTTCCCCTATAATATCTAACAACACAGAAATATTTTTAAGAGGTATTCTTCGTTTTTTTCTTATTCATGTGAAAGATATTCTTCGTGAAGTGTATATGGTATCGGTTTTACAGTTATTCATTGGAATGTACATTGATCCATTTATTATTTTAGTGATACTTCGCGAAATGTACAGTTTATTGAAAAATATTTTAATTTAGCTTAAGCTTTTATCGTTATTTCAAAGCAATTTGCTTATTTGCAACAGAGAGTAGATTCATAAATATATATTTTCGTAGAAATATTATTCCCCTATAATCTCAAAATCACGCTTTTCTTCTTTGCGCGTCGCATTATTATTTAGATGAACACCTGTCGAATGATTGCACATGCTTACTTTGTGATAAGATTTAAATAGCAGTATCATTTTGAAACTGAATACTTTTCACATAATATTACTGATAGAATAATGTTAGAAATATAAATTAGGAAACATCTCTTGTGTATAAAAAAATACTCTTTAATAAAAAGAGTAAAGGATCTCTCTCTCCCTCTCTCTCTCTCTCTCTCTCTCTCTCTCTCTCTCTCTCTCTCTCTGATATATAAAAATAATTTCAAATTGATTTATTATGCCATATAATTACATTTACATAAGATGTCCCAAAAATCATATTACGATTCTATAAATTATAAAAACTACTAAAAATTAAAATAATTAAAATTTTTAAAGAGAGATATCTTTTTGAAACTCTCTGAGAACAATAAAACTTAATTAAATAATTATTATTATAAAAAAAAATAATAGAGTGAAAAAAACATTCTTATATTATACATTCAAAACTAAACACGAACAAAGTTGTAATTTAATAATCGAAACTAAATGTTTCAAGTATACTTTCTCTTTTATACATATATCTCCTCATTTTTTTGCTTATGCCGCGAAAGAAATACTGAACAAAAATATACATTTATGTTTTATCAGTGGATTTATAAATAAGATAAAAGAAGATATTGTTAATAATATACGAATGTACGCCTCAAAAAACATGACTCCGTGCATTGATCATTCGACCGTTCGATATTTTCGACAAACATTCCTGCAGATGTATTGTTGTCATCGCAATTCATAAATAAATCGACGTCTTGTTTCACGATTTGTCACGTGGTCAAATACAAAAAATAATTTGCCTCATTGCATCGTATCGTGTGTCTTCCGCGTTCCATGCTTGCCAGGTAGTTGTTACACGCGACTCTTATTAATTAACTAACGCGAGAGTCACTAAACTTTCTCAGTGATAAGCGCCGTTGAATACAATAATTTTTATTTTATTCTTTGTATGCTTTATTTAATTTTTTATTTCTTAAATTCTATTATTATTTAGAGATTGTGTCGGTTTGTTATTTTTTATATGCTCATTGATCAACGCAATGATAAGGAAAAAATAAAAAAAGAAAGAGTATATTTAAGACTTGTATTCTATTAATATCGTAGAATAAACTTATTCGTGTATCTTGAAAAGATATCAGGTATTAAAATTGACAGTATTGACACATTTCTTTTCTCGCCGGCAAATATCATTTATTTTTATGATATTATAACACATACACAGTTTTATCTGCACAGATCAAAATAAAACAATTCATAGTATAAATTAAGCTTAACTCGATATCTGTCCGTAGGATTAGAGATGCTTAAATGTGTGTGTAATATATACTTTTAATCAGACCGTCAAATATCACAAGCATCATCGTGATAATGATAAAGAGCTTTTATAATGACTAATTAATAACAAAAATAAATAATTAATGTATATTATCCGAAATTATAATGTAGAATTTTGAGTGTATCGAAATGGCTTTCGATATTGATATCTCATTGACGCCAAAATTAAAATATTAGTACCAACAATAATTTATAAAATATCCAGAGTACGTCCAAAAGTACTTAAAAATTCTAAATAATACATAATAATAAAAATAACTAATACATGTCAATTCAAGTAAAATTCGGTATCAGGCCACCATTTATACTCGGTTATCGTAACTATCAATGCATTGTAAGTATCTTTAGAAACAGAAGAGAAAGTCCCTGAACGCGAAGGGCGCGAAGGGCGGCTTGCGTTCGATATTCCGCTCGTGATAGTTGCAGTTGCGAGCGATAGAGCGGAGATAGTGAAGGTTGCATGAATTTGTAACGTCAGCTTTTTATAGACGGCATTTATTCTTATAATTCGCTGTGTCGACTGGTCAAGGCGACGCGACGTTAAACTTTGGTGAATTGACGGTTACGCACGTTTACATATTTATAATAAAAGTTATCATTTTTCGATTTTATTCCATTTTTTCGTAATAATCTTCTCGGAGAGATTTTATCGATTTTATTCAAATTATTCAATTAACTTTAACAACTTATCTAATTTTATGTGGTTTATATTGTATTTAATTTCTGTAAAGTTGACTTGGGACAAATTTTTCTGAACAGTTTCTTGCGTTAATAAAAATATTTTGAGCGGAACATTTCATTTCATCTCTGTAAATAATTTTGTTCAACTTTTCCTGTTCTTTTTTCGTTCTCAAGAAAGTAAGGAGTAAGTTTGTTGCAAGCAATGAAAAACTTACGTTCTCCGACTTTTCCAATATTTTTCAGTATGAAATCTTGGAGATGTCGCGCACGGGTGAACCCCATACGAGAAGATTTTAATTAAGACAATATCGAAACTCTCCTCGTTGGTGATCGAAATCCAATCTTCGATTTTATTCGCGCGTACAAAGTGTGACTTCCTGTGGTTATGTGGGCAGTTTGATAGAACGTCATTGAATTGTGGAGGAAAAAAAGTTACAATCACACACAGGGTGCATTCGAGACTGCCAGTAAATCAGGAGGTAAGAATATATATAGCAAATATGTTAAAAACTTTCTGCAATAACGTATTTCGTAAATGCTGATGTCGCATTAAATTGTATGTGTTATATTAAATGATAATATATGTTACAAATTGTCATAACAATGCATGCATCTCTTTACTAAATAGAGAATTTCAGCATATATGATATCCAAATACAAAATACAAATATGGTATTATGAAAACACTATAATTATGCACGCTATTTGAAGAAGAATACAGTAAATTATAATTAATAAGTGTTATTATAAAACATATATATATATATATGTTTGATACTTTAATTCTCATCTAATTATTTAATAAAGAGATCCAATATTGAGGTACAGATAAAATTTATTTGAGAAACGCATAACTGTATAATATTAACATTATAACGTAATATAATTATAATATAATTATAACGTATAACGTATAAGTATAATATAATTATATCGTAAACTATATAATATTAGATTATCAATGGTATTCATCGACCCGACTAACTGAATCCAGATCATTCCAAACTAGTTTAAACTAGATTAAGACTCTATATGGATTATATCATCGAATATATCATCCAAGAGATACCAGCCTGTGATTGATCACGTAATTTGTTTAATTAGCGTCACAAAATCTACATTGTTTTAAAGATAGAATACTAAAACAATGAAAATGTGTAATAAACACTTGCGTTTATAATTATGCGTTTATACAGTTGGATGTATAAAAATGGATTTGTAACGTAATATTTTTTGTAATTGCTACATTTTGGAGAGAGAAAACATACGTTTTACGTTTGCCGATTACTCGAAACGAAAATATTCATGAATTAACGACGCGTGATATCAGAGTATAAAGCTATTTGGCATATATCGTGGGTCACGCGGCAGTTATCAAAAGATTCTGTCGACTTTGGCTGATCGTTTTGCGTGTCTTATGACGGGACGAGGATCGGTTGTTATCATTTTATCACGTGTTCACACGTCAAATTAGGTTCACATGCAATTAACGTATGCTGGTTTTGTATTATCTAATTTATCGTCAGACAATAGGATCGAGCTGAGAGGTAAAAAGAAAAATGACGAACTGTCAGTGCCTCAAAATACTATTTACGAGTCTTTAGTGCATACTGATTGGCTCTAAAAAGACTCGCGATGCTTAAAAAGACGCTAATTGAGAGCGATTTAATATGAGAAGCGCGTGTTCGTTGTAAAGAATTAAAACTCATGTATGTATACCACGCAAGCCATATGGTAAATAGAATTTTTCCCTAATGAAAATCTGGTATAATAAGCAGATTTTCTAGAGATTACATCTCTAATTATATTTTTAAGAAGATTCCTCTCTCGAATTACATTTAACATACTACATTTAAATGATTTTTCTGAATTAAGCACGGATAAAATTGAAAATTTTATTTTAAATCGATTAATTTAATCAAACCTTTTCCCTAAAAACTGAGGATATACATTTAACTTCAAAAATTAAAATTTTTAAAACACAAGGAACTTTCTCGATGAAATTTTTACTATGAGAAATTCTTTTTTATTCCCAATTTTTCGATGAGAAAATATTCATTAAGTTTCACATTAAATGAGCAT